GTGTGTGTACATAAGCACGATGCATGCACTCTACCGCGACGCGCGAGGCCAGATCGTGCCACGACTACACTCCATGACGTCACGCTTAAAAAATACATAATGCACGACATGCAAAAAAGGAACGTGACGTCAACGCTTTTAAGACAAAAGGATTTTTACGGGCTAAAAATGATAAATATTTCTTGGCGTTTTTTATCTATAGGAAATGACAGTTACAAATATTTTTGATAATTATTGAGTTTATTGACATCAGATCGATAAATTAAGGCAGCAATATCACATTTCTTCTGAGGATTCTACTAGGTCTTTAAATGACAGGAGACAGTGTCAAATTGGAGCCATTGGCTAAACTGGCGGACAGGATAATGGATGTTGCCTTTCAGCATTAAGCGAAGTCAACTCAGTTCATTGCAACACTTGCATGTATTCCTACTATGCCTGCACCGCTGACCGAACTGGGACATCTACGCAAGGAAATCGGACAACTCTCACTGAAAGTACAAGCCTTGTCACGTCGTCCACGTTTTCGCAAAATATTACGTAATCGCTTGCGATCACAAACACCCACTCCGGTGGAGATTCTGCAGCAGCTGATCTGTCTTCGTTATGCTCGCAAATGCCGTCAGCATTGTCAGTATCTGGGAAACGCGACCGTCAGCAACTAATGGCGACAGGCGCTGCTGGCCAAACGCATACATGTCGCCTCTTCCATGTCATGGTTCGTACTACGAGACAACGCTACCTCATTGACACTGGAGCAGAAGTGAGTGGTGTCCCCCATCGCGACTTGAACGCCAGCGACACCGTCAAGATTGTCACTTGAAAGCTGCGACTGTTAGATGCCACAACCAATGTCAGTGTCAATGGCGTGATATGCAGTCAACCCTCATTTCACGCATGTTCACCACAATTGACTTTCAATCCCCGTTCCGTGCGCTTTTGGCCAAATATAGAAACTGTTTTATGATTACAAAGCCGTCAAGCACGTACTCGTTCCACATCACCACGACAGGTCCACCGGTTTCTGCTAGTCCTCATCGCCTTCGCCCTGATAGACTGAACAGTGCTCGACAGAAGTTTGACAACATGCTGATACATGGAATCATCAGACCATCAAGCAGCAATTGGGCTTCACCCCTCCACATAGTCCCAAAGAAAACCCTTTGGGGACTGGAGACTATTCAATGATCGCATAGTTTCAGACCGCTACCCCATACCGCGCATCCACGTCTTTTCGCACTCTCTGCATGGTGCCAAGCTTTTCTCGAAAGTCGACCTGGTTCGTGCCTACCACCGAATCCCAAGGAGCCTTCGGACATCCTAAAGACGGCAGTGACCACGCCCTTCGAACTTTACGAGTTTATGCGTATGACCTTTGGGCTCCGCAACGCCGAAAAAAAATTCAGAGATTCATCGACATTGTCATCTGCGGACTCGACTTCTGCTACGCATACATCGACGATCTCCTTGTTGCTAATGTTAATGCGGAAGCACACGAACGTCATCTTCTCAAGCTTTTCAATCGCTTGTCTGAAAATGGACTCGTCAGCGACCCAGCGAAAAGCCAGTTTGGTGTGGAGTCGCTGAAATTTCTCGATCAATGCGTTGATTCGCAAGGAGTATGCCCTCGGGAGTAGAAAACCCATGCCGGCAGGAATTTCCCACGACCAACGACACAACGCAGGCTCGAGGAATTCCTTGGGTCAGTGAACTTCTACCAGAGGATAATTCCTCATGCAGCCGCCATCCTCCAACTGCTCACCGACCTCACGACATCCCGCGGATATTCAAAAAGCCGGCAGTGGAATGACGCAGCTAACGCCGCTGGCAACATCAAGTCAGCTCTAGCTCAATATGGACTTATGTGTCATGACTGACGCCTCACACGTCGCTGTTAGCGCTGTCCTCCAACAAAGAGTTGACAAAGCTTGGCAGCCGACCGCCTTCTTCTCCCGCAAACTCAAACCATCGGAGACTTGCTGTACCGTAGCGCCTTTGGCCGGGAACTGTTAGCCATTTACTTGACCATACACCACTTTCGTGACATGTTGGAAGAACGTCACTTTCATGTCCTCACAGATCACAAGCCACTCACGTTTGCATTCAAGGCATCACCAGATCGACACTCTCCAAGCGAAATCCGCCAACTGGACTTCATTTCGCAATCCACCAAGGACATTCGAGCAGATTAGGGCGTTGACAACGCTTCAACTGATGTACTGTCTCGGATCCAGCTTAATTGATCCGAGACTTCGTGCATCTTCGACATCACTCTAACTTACAGACAGCCCACTGACTACTAGGACATCACAGCTCGTCTGTGACACTTCTACGGGCAAACCACGTCTATTTGTGCCTAGTTGTCTCCGCAGAACTGTCTTCGACTCACTGCATTCCATAGCACACCCTGGTATCAGAGCAACGCAACGCCCCATCACCGAACGATTCGTTTTGACCAGGTATCAATCGCGAAATTCGCCAGTGGACACATACTCCACTCGGCACATTCGCCGCACCTGACTCTCGGTTCAGCCATGTCCACTTGAGCATAGCTGGACCTCTACCGCTATCTAACGGGTACCACTACTTACTCACATTCATGGACTGCTTCACGCGATGGGTAGAGGCCATCCCAATCGCCGACATAACGGCCGAAACTGTCGCCAGAACGTTCGTCGATAGATGGGTTTCCCACTTCGGTACCCCGTCAATGGTGACAACCGACCGCGGCCGTCAATTTGAATCTGCCCTGTTTCAGCTCCATGGCGGCAAACACAGACACAGTTCTACAGCCTATCATCTACAGCAAACGGCATGGTCAAACGATTACATCACCAGCTCAAGGCTTCACTTAAAGCGCAAGCTAATCCTACGTAATTGACAGAAACACACAAACTCATCGTCCTAGGAATTCATTCAGAAGTCAAACCAGACAGCAACAGCGAGCCGTTCATACCCCAAAAGACCCGGCTGCTTGAACCCATGTTTTTGTTCGTAATGATAGAGTACGCAAGCCCCTCCAGCCACCCTATAACTGATCATCAGTCGTGCAGAAAAATACTTTTTCATTGACATTGCTGACCGCTCAGACACTGCATGTATTGATATGATTAAGCCTGCTTATTTTGATGAGCATCATTCTGACACTCAATCTCTGTCTCATGCACTCGAACCAGTGAGCTGTGGAGGCCAAAACATGCTCAGATTGCCATGTGCATTGAATTAAGTCACTAACAGATTTCTTTCATTAACATTCACCAGTCGGGGGCTCCTATAGTATCAAAGTTATTGTTTATTGTTAGTGCGCCCTCTATGGACAGCCTGTGAACAGTATGTCAAAGTTCGCGCACTCTGTACGTTAACTATGCCTATGACAACTTTGAATGAAGCGCAACATAAATTTTTGCTATAGCCTTTGGTTGTTTGACTATACTGTGACGTCACGCCCTTATCGTGGAGCGGTGCTCGAAAGAGGGTGCCCTCTCCACAGACGTTGCGCGGACGGCACGTACCGGAAATTCCCTGAGCGGCTACAGACGAGTCCGTTGGGATGGAAATATACCGTGCAGGTCGGAAAGCTGGTTGTTTTTATGTGACTGGGCAGCGCGCTTTAATCTGATTGGCCTAATCCTTAATGACGTAACTGCATGAGCGAGAGAACCAATGAACAGCCTTGTGACACCAGTTTCATTTACCAAGAAACAATAACCACTGTTTTATTCACATTCCTCCTGGAATCACAAAGAGGCCCACTCCGATCCAGGAATTGAACAGTAAGTGATCAACAGAGGGCGCTGTGAAATGCAACACTTAAATACAGGGGGTGCAATGAACTACGGGATACAAGCAGTGTACGATAATCCAGTGAGGGGGGAGTTCCAAGTTCCTACGCAAGCGCAATATGCGTGAGATTAATGCAAGTCTAGGGCCAGATATTACGCAGGTTCCTGTAAGGGACGACTCGAACCGCACCACAATTAGGCCCCTTAACTTACCCGCTCACATCCACAGCGCGTAGTATTAGCAATGTACCTATTGTTTCCTATTAGCCTAGCGCACGCAGGTCCGTATAGGCAGACCATGCCGGAGTCAGTTATCTCGATCGAACGCACCACCAGCCCCTACTCGCGGAGCCAAGATCACAACGAAACGACGCCCCCAAGAAGGGACAATTGATGCCGCAGCAAATCAGCACCAACTCGAGGAACCGTAACCGACTCGTCACAATACCGCCCAACAGCCCTACCACCTAATACAGGAGGTATAATGCCTTACCACACGCCCGCAAGTACCGGCATTTCGAACCAGAAATTAGGTCCAACCAGTTTCGCTTTACTGCGCGCCTTATATAGCCTACCGAGCCGGCCGCTGGCCCATATGCGCCTGCGTGCGCGTGCTGCATGTCACCGAGCGGTGACCCCACTGCCCATTGGCGGACGCGCGAGGCGGAGCCTAAGTGCTGCGCGCGCCTAGCCCACTGCTATGCACTAAAAGTATATTTTAGCCACAGCTAATTTTAGCCACAGCGCTCCACGCAAAAGCGCCCTCTGTCACGTCACTCAGCCTCCTGACAGGCCTAAATGCCCTCATTAGATAAGCCGACATTTTCATACAAAACGTGACAGGTGTCTCATTACAAACCTACTTTTAATTTCAAAAACCTGAAAGAGAAACATTAGGAACAACAATCGTAATACACAAACACTTTGAACATTTTGTTTACGTTAACAATGGGTTCTAAGATCTTATGCAATTACCTTAGCAATACAACGGCTTTTCGGGCCCAATTTTGGTCCATACGTCTCAAAAAATATTTTTTTCTGGTTGGTATAAAATATAACTGGTCGGTATAAAATATATTTCAGAAAAATAAAAGTCTTTATCTTCAAGACAAAAATAAAGATGTCCTATTTCTTCCTGGTTGCGGAACCATGTCCAAGCCCAGGGAGTGCGTGGCTGCACTGCACAAGTACGTCCCGGTAGAAGATCCGTTGGCGAGATTATCTGGAGATGATTACGTTGTCCACGTAGATGATGGTCTCCGTGTGTTCCACAAAGGTGGCCAGTTTTGGGTATTTTCGGGCTCTGAAGCTCAAACCGCGTCTTCTCGGGGGGCTGCTTCCTTGAAGAATTTCTGCCTTGGGTCGGGCATCTGCTGCTGGCTTGGGAGGAGCTGGGGCCTTGTCGTGCGATTTTTGCCTCTTCTCTGGCACGTGCGTCTCTCCTTGCGGCTCCTCTGGTATCTTCTCTAGATCCTCGTCGATGTCTAACTCCAGCGGGGACATGGATGACAGGCTGATGGCGTCATCCTCGTACTTCTTTGGCGTCTCATCTTCCAGCGGTCTGGAGTCCTCCTCCACAGTGCGTTGAGGAGAGGAAGGGATAGGGGACAGACAGGGGGGCAGCCCTTTAAGGGCGGGACGCCCGTCATCAACGGCCTCCTGACTACTCTTGTCGTTCAACGGCACAACAACCTTCAAAGGGGCTTGGGAATCTGACGATTTTTGGACTAGCCGTACATCCTTCGGGGGGTGTTCGGGGCCAGCCACCGCAGTGGGGCGCCCTCTTCTTTCCGGTTCCATGTCTATCTCTGAGACCTCGGACAGCTTCGCAGGGTGCTCCATCTTGTAGTGCCTACGCAAATGGTCCCTGCGCTTCCCGTGGAACCCACAGTGGCGGCAGTACAGAAACGCCGCCGGCCCGTGGTTTATCCTTAGATGCCGGAGCAATCCCTTCAATTTCTGGAACGTGTGACCACACTTGTCGCACTTGTACGTCTTTGTTTCGGTTGGGGGCGCCATCTAGAGACAATTCTGAAAGACAAAAAGGTGGAAACAGCTGTTATTTGCCAGCCAACTCAAATTCAATTTAACGGAATCCTAGGGGCAACCTGTGCGCCCTCTTTGGATACCTCCTTGTCTTTTTTTATTTTTGTCCATGTTACACCATGGTTTCTGTATACTTTCTAAACTCCCGTCATGCAACTCCTCGGGATGCTCGTGTACGCCTTCCGCGCATGTATTTATCTCTGTGCCCATATCCTGCTGGGGCTCAAGACAACAGGTCTCATCCTCATTATTTGAGGTTTCAAGAAGACTGTCCCCTCCACGCGCATCATACAGGGGTTCAAGAAGAATGTTTTCTCCACCCTTACCATCTAAGGGTACCAGGGGATTGTTTTCTACGCCGTCTTCATCTGAAGGTTCCAACTCCTTCAGTACTGGGAGTACTCCATGGATCGATCGGACTACCTTGGTAAGGCTTCAGCATGTCTACGTGTATAACACGTGGCTTGGCGCCCATTGATTTTTGAATGCGAACCACCACATCCGAAAGTTTCTTTAGTACCAGATACGGCCCCTCCTCACTTCAACTGAAGTTTGGGGCTAACCCCTTTCTTTTTCGCGGGGTTGAACACCCACACGAACTCATTCTCCCGGATGCAAGGGTTGGTTGCCCTCCGGTCATAGTTCACCTTTTGGCGCCTCATGCTGTTTCCTAAGCATTTTTGCGCCCTCTCGTGAGCTTGTTGAATCTGGTCCCTAAGATTCTGCGCATAGTCCGCCTGTACTACTTCGTCATCACTTGATGCAGGACTTTTCACGGTCAAGTCCAATGGCAGAGCAACTTCTCGGCCCAGCATCATCATATTCGGGGATTCTCCCAAACTCTCCTGCGGCGTACATCGGTACGCACTAGTTGCAAATGGGAGGCACGTGTCCCAATCGCGCTGACCTTTGTGTGGGTCAATCATCATGGATACCATGGTAACGAGGGTCTTATTGAACCTCTCTATGAGGCCATCCGACTTGGGATTGTATGCTGTAGTCCTTGTTTTACTAATGCCGAGGACCTGACACATCTGTCGGAACAATTCGGATTCGAAATTGGTCCCTCGGGCCGTATGGACATCTTTCGGCACTCCGAATCGACACACAAACTCGCTAACAAATTTAGCGGCGACTGTCTCAGCTTTCGCATCCGGAAGCGCATATGCCTCCATCCATCTTGTAGTGTACTCTCCCACTACAAGGATCCACTGGTTCCCGTCTTCCGTTTTTGGAAGGGGGCCAACCAGATCCATATGGCTACCCTGTCCATGGTTCCCCTAACATTATACTGCTGCAAGGGCGCCCTCCGTTTCTTAGGGGGCGGCTTCTTCCTCGCACACTGGTTACACTGACGCAGGCAGGTCCTTACATCGGCACTCATGCCCGACCAGAAGTATCTTTGTTTTACACGGGCCAACGTCTTCTTCAGGCCAAGATGGCCGCCAAAATTCCCACGATGCAATTCTTCTATAAACTTGTGTCTGATGATCTGAGGAGCCACAAACCTCCACCGGAAAGAACTACCATCTCCCGATTCCCAACGTTGATTCAGTACACCATCTCTAACTGATATCTGATTCCAGTAAGCCCAATACGTCTTACTGGCTGGGGATGAGCTGGCTATGTCCGCCCAGGGAGGGCGCTCTTTTCCCTCGCTCTAAGATCTGAGGCGCTTAGCGACAAATGCAAGGCGGCAACCCTTGCTGCCGCCTCATTTCTACTACTTGGCATATTCGACTGTTCTCCTTCAACACCATCGTCATCATTACCTTTACTACCACAGTGACTACACTGCTTACATGGCCGCCTTGATAGACAATCAGCGTTGCCATGCTTGGCACCAGGGCGGTGCTGAATCGTGACGTCATATTCTGATACAACCTCCCGCCAACGAGCAAGTTGACCTTCCGGGTTTTTCATGTTTGTCAACCATCTTAAGGAAGAATGGTCTGTCAAAACCTGTATCTTCTGACCATATAAGTACTGGCGGAAGTATTTGAGATCAAATACTGCAAGCAACTCCTTCCGGGTTACGCAGTAATTTCTTTCGGCTTACTCAACTTTCAGCTTGCATAGGCTACAACCTTTTCAACACCGTCATGAACCTGAGACAGTACTGCTCCTATGCCCTATAAACTTGCATCCGTGTCAAGAATGAACTCCTGTCCTGGCAATGGGTATGCTAAGATTGGAGCAGTCATTAACTCCTCCTTAAGTCTGACGAACGCTTCCTCACAAGACTCATCCCAAGAAAACACTTTCGATTTCGAAGTTAAGGCATGCATGTATGAATCGTCTGTAGTACAAAGCGAGACCAAGGAAACTCCTCAACTCTTTAACGTTCTTCGAAACTGGCCAATAAGCAACGGATTTGATTTTAGCGGGATCCGTGGCAACGCCCTCTGCCGATACAATGTGACCCAAGTAAGTTATCGACTTCTGAAAGAGGTTGCATTTTGCTGTGCTTTAGCTTAAGGCCAGCACTCCTCAATCGTTCAAACACCTTGCACAGGCGTTCTAACTCATCTTCCACCGTTTTTCCAAAAACGATGACGTCATTGCGGTAGATCAATAAGGTCTCCCATTGTAACACTGCCAACACCTTTTCCATTAGGCGTTCAAATGTGGCGGGCGCGTTCGCCAAACCGAACGGAATGACTTGCCACCTATATAGTTCATTCCGCACAACGAAAGTTGACTTCTGCTGAGCATCCTCATCCAGGGCTACTTGCCAGTACTCGGATGCGAGGTCAAGGGTTGAGAACCACTGAGCGCCCTCTAGCGCGTCAAGTGTCTCATCAATCTTGGGGACAGGATACGCGTCCTTGATTGTCACTGCATTCAGTCCTCTATAATCAATGCATAAACGTTTCGAGCCGTCTTTCTTTCCCACCAACACTACATTAGCCGCCCACGGGCTATCTGATGGCTCTATCAAGCCACGCCCCTTTAAGTCATTCACCTGTCGGTTTATCTCTTGTTGATTACAAGTTGGGTTTTTCCGGGGTCTCTGCCTCACTGGTCTAGCGCCACCAGTGTCGATACTGTGCTAAACTATATCTGTAAGGCCTATGTCACCATCAGCCCGCGAGAAGACATCTTGGAAGTCTATCAGACATTTCTATCAGCCTGACTCAATTGGTTCCACAATCAGTGGTCCCTTCAGCCCCTCGCACTGACCGACAATAGTCCCAGCCACAACCTTTTCATGACCAGGTGGAATCTCCGTAGCTTCAGCTATCACCACGTGGCCCACGAATGGCTCGCCAGCAACACCTGTGCACTTAAATCTTTCCCCATTGACACACAACTCTAGCTTTCGGAAATTTAAAATCCCATTAGTGGCTAACAACCAGTCCATTCCCAACATGTCGGGAATACTGATATCAGCAAATAGAGCCCGAGTCGGTGGACGGTTTTTCCAATTGCTAAGTCCAACCATGCAGTACCAGTTACAGTTTCAAAGGGGTACCGTCCACCTGCCTGACTCTAGACTCGCAACATTCCAATTCGGGCCGCTGTTCTTTTGGCAGCTGGTAGCATACCATCATACTTATCAATGTGTCAGTTGCCCCGGAGTCAATAAGCAAGCGGAACTTATAGTCGACCTAATTGACCCATCTACGAACAAACCATGGCTTGGCCCAATTGCGGGGGTTGTGACAACGTGCACTTCTCTTCTCAACCTCGTGCCCTCCGTTACTTTGGACCCTGTACACTGTTCAGCCTTTACGCGGGTCCCCCGGTCGGCTGGTTCTCGTTTCCCTGGTAGCGGGTACGTTTACGCTGAAGCTGCCTGCACTCTCTAGCGAAGTGACCAAGTGCACCGCAGCTATGACAATTCAACTCGGATTTAGGCCGCCCCCGTGGAGGAGGAGAACCAATTGAAACTTCTTGCATCGCAGGAGCTATCTGCGCATGCGCTGGTGGTTGAAACAACACTCTACCCATCAACTGCTCCAAATGCTTAGTCATTTCGTTTACACACCTCGTGTGCGAGTCAACAGCTCGCTCGATGGACTGAATTCTTGCCTCCACTGAGGTCCGTGCCTCTTACAAACTTAAGGGGCCTCTCATCAATTCTTCCCTGTGCCTCCATACTTGTGGAAGTTTTCCGTCTCGCGGCTTGCAATGCCTCTGACAAGTACTTTGGCCTTGCCCTAAAGATACCTTCCCGCAACTGCTGATCAGAAACAGCATCAGGGTCATTCTATACATTTGGGGTCCACTTTTTTTCCCGTCCCTGTTACATCTGACATCTATGATTGTATAATTCTGATGCACTCCTTAATGCAGTCATCCTCCAAGAGTGATTATAAATAGCAAACTACCTACCCAACAAATAAACAATCATTTGAAGTCATTCTTAATGATGCTTGAATGGCAAATTACAAAGTACCAAGGTAACAGGGACGGGAAAATGTCACACTTTGGACCCCAAATTTATAGAATGACCCATCAACAAAGTGATTCTTCTCTAACCGATCCCTTGACTCCGAAGGGATCTCTGGATACGCCTTAACGGCCAACTTGTGTATTGCCTGACATAACTCCTGCAGAGTTTCCTTAGGCTTCTGTCTGCGATGACGTAACTCAACCAGAAAATTCTCAGCCTGCTGACCAGGCCCGAACCGCCTAGCCAACAATTTCACTAACTCCTTGTAAGTCCGCTTACCTCCTTGGTAAGCACCCTCCCCGAGGATGCGGACAGCATCTCCTTGAAGACTTGCAGCCAAGTACTCGGCAGATTGCACATCATCCCATCGATTCACTAGCCGACAACTCTCGAAGTGCCCGTAGTACTCATTTCACGGCACTTTACCATCAAAACGGTCAGGAACTTTACTTGGGCGGCGAGGAACCTGACTAATCCGCTCTCACAGCCCATCTTCCCCAACAAATCTTTCATTTCTTCTCAGCTGACAAGGCCCTGTCTTGTCTGCACTTGAAACACCAGCCACGCCCTCAGC